GCGGCAACAGACCTCCCGCCCCCCCCACGCACTCACTCACTCTCCCCACAGCTGCTTTGCGCACACACATGCCAGCACCGGCATGAGCACTCCCCTACCCCTTCGTGCATGCACCCATGCAAAGGCGTGGGCCTGCACGCATGCAGGCACTCCTGTGCATGTGCGAAGGGGTGGGGGAGCACTCATGGCGGCACTGGTGGGTGCACATGCACTCCCCCACCGCTTCGCGCATGCATCCGAGCGTGCCCATGGGGGGCCGCCTTCCTTAGAGGCTCAGCCAGTCCCCGTTCCCCCAAAAGGTTGGGGACTGCTGCTCTAAGGGATAAGCTGCCACTGTTAAAAATCTGTTTTATTTCTAAGGAGAAACCCGTCTATCCTAGAAACTCGAGTTGGACAGTGTGACAAACAACCAGAAATGTGCAAAACTAAGTAACAGTGGTAACCTGGGCTAGACCAGAAATGACTGAAGTAGATTAAGGCACTGCTTCTAGGAAAACAACATGCTTTGTTTTCAGTTGCTGATGTATTTATTGTTTGTTATGTTTTGTGGGAAAGGGAGAGGAGCAGCTTGTGAGCAAATGAAAGAGGCCTGCACGGCTTCCCTCCTTCACGAAGGACTCCCAGTGAACTTGGCGGACGAGCGAACCTGGCAGACGAGGCCCTCTCCCTGCGACTGCTGCCCTCGGAGAGTTCACTCAAGCTTGTAGACTTGTAAACAGGAAGTGTTACTGTGCACGGACAGCCTATTTTCCCCTCTGGTCAGCGGCGGCACCAACTTGACGCTCCCGGACTGTGCCAACATCCCCTGTGGCGGCTGGCCAAGCCCAGGGTCACCGGCAAAGAGGATGTTTTCCACGCAGAGCTAGGGAAAGAACCGTCTGCAGCCAAGGACAACTCCGGCATAAGAAAAAGTAGAGCGGGAGAGGCTGGCCTGAGGCAGAAGCAGGCGATGAACATGGAGCCCGAACTTTGGGTTGCCCTGTGCAATTAAGCAAGTCCTAATTGTTTGTGATGTCGCTATCGGTGCTGGCACGCGCAAGTCTGGAAAAAGCACAGCTACAGAACTCCAAGGCCCTTCCAAAAGTTCTTGGTGGTAGCCGGGAGGAAACGTGACAAGCGAACACATGTGAACATCAAAGGACATGCCATCCGTCTTAAGGAGGGCAATTCCTAAACAACTGGGCGTGATGCATTTTGGCTAGAGATGCATTCATGCATCTGCCGGCGGCCTCACTCATCCTTCCAATCACTCCCGGAGCACCATGCTCTTCCCACTCGGCTAACTCATCCTTCCAGTCACTCCTGGAGCACCATGCTCTTCCTGCTCGGCTAACCACTCCAGGCAGGGGGAGGGAGGACGAGTCTCTCTGCATGGCCGCTGAGTGGCTAGATGGGCAGGAAGAGAGCAGCGCTCTGGGGGTGATTGGAAGAATGAGTGACGAATAATCCGCTAGCAGTGCGCTCTGGGAGTGATTGGAAGGATGAGTGACTGGAATAATCCGCCAGCGGTTGATGCGTGAGTGGACAGTCCGGTCTCTCATTCAGTCCAGCTATGCAGGTATATTCATATTCGTATATGCCCATCTTTAAATATGGCATGAAATTAACTGGAATAAGATGCACAAAGCCAAACAAACCCAATAGTCTGATGCCCCTCTGTATGATTCCACAAGCTGATCCTCCCATATCCCTTCTCATTTGCCCATTAATTCACCCTTCTCATTCCACATGATGCCTTGGCTAGCTGGATAATAAATGAGTTGGGTAGCTGGGTTCTGAGTTCGATTCCCCACTGTGCCTCCCAGCGAGAAGCTAGCCAGCGTAGGTGCAGTGCCAAAGTGGCCCTAAAATAAAAATAAAAAAGTAGCTGGCTAACTGCTTCTGAGGATTCCAGACCTAGAAAACCCCCAGCAAAGGGTTACCATAAGTTAGAGTCAACTTGACAGCACAGAGTTATCAGTTCTACACTGGCTTCGTTATGTGAAAAAAAGTCAATGGCACAGCTGTGTTCCTCATCCTCCAGAACAAGGAAATGTTTCTGGGGGCCCTGCCAAAACTTCCTTCCCCCACCCCCTGCCCTGAACCTGACCCAGTTAACGGTGGTCATTCCTCTAGTCCTGCGCCTTGGTTTCATGCATTCTCTTTTCTACAGACACAGGCCCTCTACACTGGGAGTTCTCCGATATTTCCAGTGGCTCCTTCAGGAGCTCACAGCAGAAAAACATAGCCTATAGCACCATCAGTTCGTGTTCTGGGTTCACACATCTCCAACCCACGAGCAGGCACACAGAGAATCTTGAAGGGACGCAATATGTTGCACAGACAGAACAAAAACAAATGATTAAATACATGTGCAAGTCGGGTGTCCTTCTGAGGTGGGGCAGAGAGCGCATGACAGCTGAAGGTTGGCGATGCTACTCTTAATCTCTTAAAGGCAGGATGGGTTTGGTGTCTTCACGACGGGAGCTCCATGCACAAACTAAGAAAAAAAAAAGGGAAGCTGTTGATTTTTCAGCCAGGAGTAGCACATGTGTTTCCAAGAAGTGCAAAGGTTAAAAATCAACTGCCGGGCAAGTGAGCAGTAACAAATCTACTACATACACTCTCCAGGGCTCTTTTGGGTACTCTTGAGCTCTGTCCGGTTTGGATCCGAAAAGAGAGCCGGAGCAGGTGATCCTGCCTGAGAAGGCGAGCAGCCGGCTAAGGAACAACGGTGCTCTGTTAACACCTCCGTCTTGACCACGACTGGCAGCCAAAGTAAGGAATAGCACGATCCAAATTTCTGGCTCAAGGGGAAATTGTTTCGTCCTGGCAGGTTCAGGTGAGTTATAGCATTTGCTGACCATCCTTTGTCAGCTTGTTCTTCCATCACACAACGAGGCTTCTGGGAGGAAATGCCACTGGTTTAAATTTCAAGCGGAGGCTACCCTCCCCTGCCCCCCTGGCCTGGACAAGTCCCGGATCGAGCCGCATTCCTGCGTGGTGTGTTTGTTCCTAAAGTCCGATGATTGCCATGTTTCCTTCGGAGCTCCTGTTTACGCGCTCTTTCCACAGCCAGCTCATTCCCGACGCGTGCTGTCTGGCCACAGAGGAAACCCTGGCCCCTGGAAGCCCTCGCAAGCTGGGCTGATAAGAACTGGCCCAAGCCTGATGCACTCGCAGGCATGACACCGAGAGCAGGAGGAGGAGGAGGGGAGCCGGTTTCCCAGCCACAGGAAGGGCTTCTGTTTGAACATGACCTTGGAAGAGGCATCAGTGTGACTGTAGTGACAGAGGGGGAGAAGCAGCCAAGGCATTAAACATCAAAGCCAGCTTTGAGCCTGTCGGTATGGAAAAGCTCCTCTTTTGGGGGAGAAAAAACCCTGTGCCAGCAAAAATCCCGTTCAACATATCCCGAGCCAAGGAATTTAAGGCAAGCTTTTGAAAAATGTTTGGATCCGTAGAGGAGTCTTCGGGGTGGTGGTGAGTGAGGTTGCCGTATGGATAAAATGATCAACTTCAGCACTAGGTCCAGTCCAACGGAAGCCGGAGTGAGAAATCTAATGAGATTGGGACAGAACCAAGTGGTAAATTTCTGAAGTAAGCCGGAGTGAGAAATCTAATGAGATTGGCGCTAACACAGAACCAAGTGGTAAATTTCTGAAGGCCCAGAGTCAAGACACATCTGGTTTTGGAAAAAAAGAGAGTCTTTGCTCCAGAGCTTGATGGTCATCAGCAATTTGCCCCCAAACATAGGAAAATGGCAAACAAACAAGCAAAAACAAAACAAAAACCACCCGCTTCCGAAAGGGTGTAAAGAGCATCGAGGGCTGATCTTTTAAAAGCTAAGGATCATTGGGGCTCGGGGATCATAGAGGGCAGCCTATGCCATCTGTGCCTTCTGGCTGTTTCTCAAGCCTTGTGGGAAGAGGTAGCCAAATTCAGCCACCTCGTTCATTTGGCTTAAGAGCTCCCGGGGTGTTTCCTAAAGTTTCGGCGGTACATCTCCCAGAATCCCCCAGCGAGAATGTAGGCTAGGGAATTCTGGGAGCTTAGTGAAAAGGATGACTTTTTCAAAGTTTGGACTCCTCTTTCCCTTCCTGGGAAGAGCACCCACAGGATACCCTCACTTTCAGGCCAAGATCCCAAAGACACTGTGGCATCCAAAAAAAGGGGCCACCAGAGTGCTGAAGGGAGAAACTCGCAACCGTTTTGTTTGTTCTGGCTCAGGCCCCTTGCCTGGTTGACATCACATCCTGAAGGCGGCGAGAGCCAGCACCTCCACGAGCAGGGTGGGCAGGGCCTGGACGCTCTGGAGGGAGAGTCCGGAGCCAGCCCCTCTCATTTGCTGAGCGAGGCAGGAAGGAGTGCAGCCATTGCCAAGGACGACTGGGAGATGCCCACAGGACGACGAGGGCGCCGTCTTGGCATGGGGGACCCAGAACAGACACCGGTGGGGGGAAAGGCGTGAAGACCAGAAGCTGCAAAGGAGAGACCACTGGGACAGGAAAGAAAGGGGAAAATGGGTTCTTGCCAACCTCTTCAACTTTTGCAAGTAAGTACTTCCGAGAGGGAGGAAAAAACATTCACACTATAGCCACATTTGATTGCTTTTTGCAAGGTGCTTCCTTGGGCTCCAAGAGCAGCACCATCATTGGGTGCTCCTCTTTCTACTACTTTGGAAAGCAGAGATTGGAGCCTGGTAAACAGTGGTAGTCAAGGAAAGCACCATCATTGGGTGCTCCTCTTTCTACAACTTTGGAAAGCAGGGATTGGAGCCTGGTAAACAGGGGTAGTCAAGGAAAGATCTGGCACTGAGGTCCCCCCCCCTAATTCCTGTGAAGCCCCAGCTCCAGCAGAAAGCCCACCTAGTTTACTTCAATGCCACGTTGTGGCCGGGGTGTGTGTGTCACTGCCAATGGGCGTTCTTGCCTGAATCTTTGATCTCGCCTCCCTTCGCCTGCTTCCTGTTCCCTGCGGCCTCAACAAAGGGCTGCTGGCATTTCATGGGTGCGGCTAGAAAAAGAGGGCATCTTTGGCCAAGGCTATTTATAAAGACACCCAAACAATAAAAAGCAACTACTTCGTGGTGGCAAATGACGTTGGCATCACTGGCCACTGTGGGAAGTCCTCTGTGCCTCTTCCATTTGCACAAACAGGGCTCATATAATCTACAGATGTTGGAAAAATGAATGAGAGACCAGATGGTCCCCATGCCAGAAAGAGATTGGGGTACGAGTTGTTGACAGAGATGCAGATGGAGCAGAAATTGGAGAAGCTCCAAGACTACAATTGCCATGTTAGCTCTGGAATTCTAGGGATGGAGTGGGGCGGGGAGAAGAGAGAGGAACTTTTCCAAATCTGTCCGTCAACAGAGTCTGCAACTCTTACCCACCTTGTTTCCCCATAATGCCCTCAAAGGTAGAAGTACAACTCCCAATAAACGAAAACTGTCTAATATAACATTCTGCTCAGTAAAGGCACCTCTAATTTATCCCAACACATTTTTAGCATTGAATTTGTTCTGTAAAGTGGAAGGGGATACTCAAGTTTGGTGGACTTATTTGGTTTTCCCTTCCATCCCACTGTCTCTTAAAGCAATATCTTCTTACAAGGTCTTACCATCAGGGGCTGAAAGAGATGCAAAGGTTGTGTGCAAATACAACCCATTTCACTGAATGGCACTGAATTATACTGGCATGCAACATGGGGGTCATATTCTGAGCTGTCAACACGGGAGTGCTATTTCTCCACTGATTCATAGAAAAAAAAAGCAAACCAGCTTCCAAACAGTAACAGAGACATATGATTAAGTAATGTAATTCTGTATGTTTAGGCTTTATTTGCTGGGAAGTGGGGGAGATAGGGAATTGAGCTTTGTCTCTGTGCCCCATGGAACACCCATTGCCTATTCTTCTTTTGGCTTCCCCAGTTCCATCATGGTTTCTGGTAAACTGCCTGCCCTGTTGATTCCACTCATTCCTCTCATCTTCTGTGGATCCAGAGGCTCCCAGGCAGTGACTCCTGGAATCAGCACACATGACACGAAGGAGGCACCCATCCAGGCCCTCCAGACCATCTTGTTAAGACGCCTGGGCCTCCAGAAGCGCCCGGAGCCCAAACCAGGCCTTGTGATTCCCCAGTACCTGTTGGATCTGTACCAGTTCTGCTTAGGGAAACCTCCTCCCTCCCTCCAAGACACGGACATTCCCTTCCTGGAGGAGCAAGCCGGAAGAGCCAACACCGTGAGGACGTTCCACCATATTGGTGAGGTCCCTTTTTTTTTTTTGCACCTGTTCAGATCTATGGAGATGGGGGTGTGGGCAGGCTCTGGTTTTAAAATGGTGGGTAAGGAAGTCGGGATGGAAGCAGGACTCAAAGGGGGAGCTGGGCAACACGGTGGAAAGCAAATGTGAACCTGCCTGAGTGCAGGTGGAAATCTATGCTTTGAGCCCCGCTATCTGGCCTTCTCTGGTTCAAGAGGTGGAGTCTAGTGCCACCTAGAGAAGACGGCAAACAACTACAGCACACAGCGAAGTCTGGAGGATGAGCTGTCTCAGCATGTTGGCAAAATTAAAGAGGAAAATTAAAGGGAAAAAAGGAGTGGGGTTGGAGGAGAGGTGTGTTAAAGAATAACAGATTTATTTCAGTGTGGCCTTTCGTGGATCAAATCCACCCCTCCTGACACAAGAAGTGCAAATACCATGTCCTCTACTGTTGTTATGTCCCGTCAAGTCACCTCTGACTCACGGCAACCCTGTAAAGGAGTGCTCTTCAAAATGTCCTGTCCTCGGCTGCTCTGCTCAGTTCTTCCAAACTCACATCTGCGGAGTCTGTCCATATCATATCCGATCTTCCTCTTTTCCTGCCGCCTTCTACTTTTCCCAGCATTATTGTCTTTTCCAAAGGGTCCTGCCTTCTCAGGATGTGCCCAACAGTGCAGCCTCAGCTTCAACATTTTGAAACTGAGCCTCTGTACATTCTGAGAAATATGAGAGAAGCAGTACAACTTATCACCCTGGCTGGGGGCCTGCAATGGCAACTCATTAACAGCCTGATAGTCTTGCTCCTGTGCTGATGAAACTACCACCCCTTTGGTCTCTTATTTGTCTCCTCGCCTGCTCGTGATGCTCACCGCCACGGAGACACGCATAAATATAACAGATGTAGTATTTGCGCTCTGTTGATTTTGATCCGCAAATGCTAACCATGACATAGGTCACTTAAGATGCCACCGTAGTTGGCCCTTTTCTTTAGCTATGCCGACAGCTGAGCCTGGCCCTCGTCATTCTGGCGCTTTCCAAATGTCTTGGAGACGCGTTTTCAAGAATCCCAATCACTGGACATGTTCGCAAAAATGGGTGGGAACTGAAGTCCAAAACATCTGGGGACATTAGGCTGGGATAGGAGGGGCTCCTTGAAAGTAGACAACATCTGTAAATGTGCTGAACTGTTGGGTTTTTGTGTTACTTCACAGACTAAGATGTTCTCTCTCATTTTTTTTTAAAAAGCCTAAAACTCAAACCATGAAAACAATACAAATTACAGTGCTGAAATAGTAAATTAAAAACTGGGAAAATAGTTTCTTCCTTTTAAAAAAAACATCCTCAATTCACTCCTTTGTTTCTCCCCCAGAAGAAGGGAATGTTAAGCCACTTTTGAGTATTCTCTACTTAGAAAATTCAGGAAAAGGTTAGGGTTGTGATTATCTTAAGTCCCACTGATTTCAATGGATTCTCCTTGACTTACAATTTAGTCAACTTTAAATGTTCAAGTCAACCTTCTTTAAGTGGAATAATAATAATAAATTGCATTTCAGCAGCAATATATACCCCAAATGTTGGCAGAGAAGAGCCTCTGCCTTCAAGCCATGCTTTGGAGCATCCCAGGAATACCTGGCCAGCTGTTGCAGAAAACAGGACACACGAAGAGATGGGTCCTTGAGGATCATGCCAGGTAGTTTGGACTTTTGACGTTCAGTCCTCAATTTGTTTCTAACTTCTGCTCAATTTCTCTTCTAGAGACTCTGGATCTGGTCTCTGAAGCAGTAGGGAGTTCCTTCTACTTCTTGTTCAATCTCACCTTGCTGCCAGCTGACGAGGTGGTGACTGCCCTCGAGTTACGGCTCTACCATTCAGAGAAGGAAAGCAAGGGTTTCCAGATCAACGTCTATCACGTGATGGATCCCCCACCCATTTCTGGAAACAAGAGCAGGCTCCTTGCTCAGAAATTCTTGGCTCTCAGCCACCCCAAGTGGGAAGGTTTTGATGTGACCGCAGCTTTCACAAAAGCCAAGGACCAGAAACGTCACCTTGGTTTTCTCATTGAAGTGGAACCCCCAAATAGTAGCCATGTGCCCCAGCACCACCGCGTCCCGCTTCGAGCAAGACGGTCTCCTGGAGAGGAAGAGACTCAGTGGGCTCTGGAAAGGCCTCTACTGGTCACCTATAGCCACGATCAAAGGGGGCAGCCTCTGAGCCGGGGAAAAAGACACAGCAGAAGCCAGCTTGGCAGACTGTCTCAGAAAGGAGGCAGAAAAACTACACATGTCCCCACCTCTAGGAGCAAACCCAAAAACCTGAAACCCAAGACCAAGGCCAACACAAAGTGCCGAAGGCACCGCCTCTTTGTAGATTTCAAGGCAGTTGGGTGGAACGACTGGATAGTTGCCCCCAGTGGCTACCATGCTTTCTACTGCTCTGGGGAATGCCGCTTCCCACTAGCTGACCATATGAACTCCTCCAGTCATGCTGTGGTGCAGACAATGTTAAATTCCGTCAACTCCAAAGTCCCCAAGCCATGCTGCGTTCCAACAGACCTCAGCCCCATTGCGATGCTCTACTTGGACCAACATGACATGGTGGTCCTTAAGACCTACCAGGACATGGTGGTGGAGGGCTGTGGGTGCCGGTAGGAACACTCCCTCTGTCAACACCGAACATTTTCGGCTAGCCAAAGAGAGTAACAGACAGCAGGCTTTGGCAGAAATACTTCTTCATACAACACAAAGCATATATGGAAGCCCACCACAAAAGGTGGAGGGGGGAGAGGACATTCACTGAGGACATTACTAGGTGCTAAGTGGAACGCTGCAGTACAGAGACAGTACACCTCTGAATATCAGACTTGGAGGTGAGGGGAGGACTTAAGCAAAGGTTGCAAGAGTGGTAGAGGTCTAGACATTTGCAACTGGAAATAGAAGGACTCTAGTATGACTTAGCAATGCAATTCTTTTGCTCTTACAAAATCCCATGAGTAAATCCTAAGCCTTCTCTGTATAGATGGTTTGACTAATATTTGACACCGTTTTTAGAAATTGTGATAACCCTTAATTGAACCATAAATAAAATCTATCATATTAAGTATCCCTAAGCCAAGATTAAGATCAGAGTACAGCAACATTATCATCAATGATACCATTCAAGGGATTAAAGAAAAACAGCAGTAATCATGCCTATAAAACTTGTCTGGAGAATGAGAGTCCTTTGGACACTGTCGGACAGCACCTTCCTCTCATCCTTATTCGTGAGTGTGATAATCTCAGAATGGGAGGGCTGGATTTCGGACAGCACCTTCCTCTCATCCTTATTCCCGAATGTGATAATCTCAGAATGGGAGGGCTGGAATCCTATGGATCATTGAGTCCAGCCCCTGTTAAGGAGGCACAGTGGGGAACTGAACTCCCAATCTCTGGCTTCACAGACACAGACCTAAACCACTCGGAATTGAACTCCCAATCTCTGGCTTCACAGACCTACACCACTGAACTATCCAACTCTTTATTCTCTATTTTTCACAAGCTGTTCACACACAGGGATATACATACGCTGCCTCTCCCCTGAACATTATATTCACTAAAGTAATCCTAGATTTCTCTTCTGATCAGATATTTGGTTATCAGTGGTGAGGTCAAGAATACAGGAAGGCACCAAAACAATGGAAAAAGAAGATCCACATTGCTAGCTTCAGTGCCTAATTTTTACACACACACACACACAGAGGAAGTGTATGAGATCCACCTCAAGATTAGATTATTAAAAAAAGAGAAGTGCTTTTTAAGCAAAGTGGGCTTTCCACATATTTTTGACTTCAGTTCCCATCAAAATTAATAATCTTAGTAATAATTATCTTAGAACTACAGAGCTGGAAGGGACCCTATGGGTCATCGAGTCCAGCCCCTATCAAGGTAGCAGAATGAGAGCCACAGCTTATCCATTCCCCTCTTTAAAGGTTCCATGAAACACTTAAATGTCTCGTTGTCATTGTCCACTGTGACAATAATACAATTACCTCTCTGGAAATAACCAGAAGTTTATACCAGGACCTCTTCTGGCTCATTTGGCTTCTCAGGCAGCCCACTATTACCTTTAAATAGTTATCTTCCTACTGCTGAGTTTCCTGTCCAAATGTTCCTTTTGCAAGTTATATGTCTAGAGGATGAACCGTCATTTGATGGGCTGCTAGGGTCTGGGTGGATTTGATTTAAGTTTATTTATTTATTCAGTCAGATTTCTATACAGCCCCATTACTACTGCGAAGCACTATTCTGAGTGGTTTACAACAGCTATGAATAAAAATGCATATACAACCAAACTACAAATACCCAAAATAAACAATTAAAAGGTTAATAAAACATGTGGCACCTGGAACAGGTTCGCAATAAAACAGCAAAACAGGAGACGTAAAAGGCAGGCGGGGTCAGTGAGCCTTCCTGAAAAGCAGTTTTAAGTTGCTTTCTAAATCTAATAAAATAAATAAAAGCCAACCCGGGGGGGGGGGGGAGGCGTAGCTCCACAAGGAGCTGGTTCCATAAAGCTGGTGCCACCACAAAGAAGGCCTCCTGATCCGTTCTGGATGACCCACAGCCCTCCTTCCGAGTGGCTACTCAGAGGAGCACAGCATAGGAAGATCTGGTAGACTGGATAAATGACACTGATTTTTTAAAAAAAAAAATCAGGGTTTTTTTTGATGATTTCAGATTTTTAAAATTGAAATCATGTTTTAAACCCATTTGATTTTTTAAAAAATAATGATTTTTTTTGGTCCACTTTAGGGTAGAGCTGTCTTTTTAGAAGCTGTACTCTCTTTAACCCCATCTGGGTGAGAGACCCGGTATTTCTGTTCTCCTCTGACCTGCATCATGTCCATAGAAATCCTCACATGCACTTTGATGCAAGTCCATATCCTGTCTTTTGTGGGGAGGTGTGAATGGCCAGGCAGGGACCCCTCCTGCTCCTATAGGAATTCCAGCCCTTTCCCTTCAAAATAGAGACCTCTTTATAGTCACAGTTCTTAGCTTTAAATGTTGTTAACAGATGTCACATTTCCGAAAATTTCCACTTTTCCTGGAACAGTTTTTTTCCCCGTTGCCCCCTCCCAGAAATTTCCATTCCGCCCCAGAAAGAAACGGAAAAACACATTTTTTTCTTTAGAAAAATGGAAATTTTACATCTCTACATGTTAACCACCGTTGTATACTCATTGTTCTCCACTTTAAATATTGCCTTTCAACGTTATAAACCGCCTTGGGTCTTTAATGAGGAGAAAGGCGGAGTAAAAAGATTCTAAATACATACATGAACAATTGAGAAAGGCGGGGTAAAAATATTCTAAATACATACATGAACAATTTTTTAAAAAATTGCCGCTATTAAACTTTTACCGTTAAACTTATTTCCAAAAAACTCTATTAAAAATACAGTAACAGGGAATTTGGGCAAAAATTGGCCTTTTCCTGGCCAGGAAATTCTGCGCTTCCCTCATAAAATGTTTGAGTTACTGTAACGTCAACTAACCTGACTAGGCCTTGGGTCGAACCGGCTCACGTTGCCATGACAACCCCAAAATCTCCTCTCAGTCAGAATCTGGGCCTTTCCTGGGGAGACCAAGGGCGCATATTGCAGCCAGCCAGAAAACGTTCACCTCTCTTCCCGGAACTGCATTCTTAGGACAGGAAACGAAGGCGCTCCTTTTATTCTTCTTCCATCCTATCTCTGATATTCTCGCCCACTCTAGTACCTGGAGGACTTGGTACTCTATGGCTCCATCCTGAACGGGATGAGGAGGGGGGAGAGAAGCGGGCCCGGCGCACGCGCAGATTGCTTTCCCGTCACGCACTTTCCACCCCAGACGTTGGTGGGTTGGATGGAAGATGAAAGGGAAGTGCGTGAGCGTCACGTCAGGATCAGGCGGCGCGCCGCGTTCCTCAATTATTTTTCCGCTGCAGTACATTCGCAGAACAAGGGGGGGTGCTCTGTGTGCCTTCTTTTTCACTCCTCGCAATGTAAGAATATTTGTTACCTTTTTTTCTCTCTCTCAGAGTTAGTCCCCGGCCTCAACGGCGTTCTCTGAAAGTTACGCCGGCAAACGTTTTGCTTTGCTTCCTTCCCTCTCCCCTCCGTGCCGAAAGTGCGGAGTGGAAACCAGAACTAAGCTCTCTGATGGCGAGGGAGAGCGAAAGCGAGAAAAGGGGTGGGGGGGGAAGAGAAGGAGGACGGGTCGCCTAAACCCCATCCGCTGATTCGCTAATCTCGGCGCGGCGCCAGGGCCACGTGACCGCCTGTGGAGAGAACGGTGGAGGGGGTGGGAGAGAGAGAGAAACGCCGAGTGGGTGTTTACCAGAGGCGGCCGAGCGGCGCAGAAGGAGCGAAAGGAGGCCCGCCGCTGAGGCGAAAAAAAAAAGAGAGCTCCTCCCCAATTTTCAAAAATTCGCTGGTTCGGGGTTGAGGCGCTGACGAGCCGGGCGTGGAAAGTGCGGCGGCGGATGCGAAGGGCGCTTGACGCACTCCCGGCAGGCGAGCGAGGCCGAAGGAGGAGAAGAAGAGGCGAGAAGAGAGAGAGAGAGAGAGAGGCGGCGGCGGCGGCGGCGGCTTCCTTCGGGTCCGTCCGCTCGCTCGGGACGGGGCCTGCTCCGCACCTCTAAGCCTGCCCTCGAGTGTGTGGCTCCTTCCTTCCTTCTCCTCTCGATCCCCGCCACCCCCACCCGCTCCTCGGTACCGCTCCCTC